TGAGCAGGTGGGGGATTGGCGGGGGGGTGGTTGGGTGGTGGGGGGGGGGGCATAGGGAAGAAGCACGTCATTTCAACATTTCAACCTTTCAGAAGCTTTATGCCTCCTGTCCCAGAAAAAAGTAGCAGTGACTCCAAGTTACTGAGTGACTCCAAGTTGCTGCAGTAAAACTCGCACAAGTCTGGTCTGTATAAATCATATAATCGCCTAAGTTGTACTTCTCTGCCCATTTACATCAAGTGGAGTCCTGTAGTTCAGTGGTGAGAACACTCGCCTCGCAAGCGAGAGACCTGGGTTTGATTCCCGGCAGGGCAAAATCTTGGGCAAGTTTCCATACTCCACACGCCTGATAATAATCCCTCAAGAAAATAAACAATAATAAATTGGTCACTTCAATCCACGACTGTTTGTAGGACACTGCTGTGCACGATTTACTGCCTCGTTTCGCCCACAAATATACAGTCAATTCACTTTACAGTATTATTCTGTGAAGCGCTTTGAAACGTCTCGAAGACCTGATAAGGCGCTATATCAAACTAAGGATTATTATTATCAAAAGGCGCTATGAAAACACAAGCTCTTCCTAAACCGTGTTGCCTCGTAGGAAAGAGGAGCGCTGTACAATTCATTTATAACGCCCATAAAAATACACTTTATTTTTTACAATTGATACGAAGCACGGAGGTTTTCTTCCTTTTTTTTGTTCACTTCTCTGGTATAATTTGCAAAGTTTGTTGGCGAAGTTTATTTCACATCCAGAGTTGCATTTTTAATGGCTTCAAATATTCCTTTGACTGAAATGTCTCGGCTCAGCAGAAAGGATATTTATTGAACAAACAAGATTACAATAAAAATGCAGAATACCTCAGAGCCCAGGAGTGGGAGTAGAATGGGTAGAAACATCACCCCCCCCCCCCCCCCCCACCGGCTCGATAAAGGATTAACTTAAAGCCGCTCTGATCCATAAACAAGGAGGTTCCACTTTGAAACTTGAAATCAAACATTGCGATTTTACAATGAAAGAACACTATTCCCGGCATTTCCTGACTATTCCTAACTATTCCCGGCATTTCCTGAAGGGAAAGGAACGGAAGAGGGGCAGATAAACATTTGCATTGTATTTGTACGGCGCCTTTCACGTCAGGAGGACATCCCAAGGATAGTCAGGGATCCGCACCTGAGCTGGTGGTTGGGATCAGACGGGATGGAGGGCAGGGGTAGGAGTGTGACTGAAGCTCAGAGGCTTCCAGCTTGGACTGAAATGTCCCAGCGCTCTTTATACCTATAGGCAGGTGGCGCTTTCCTCTATGCCCTGGCGGACTGACTTTAAGATTCTTGTCCTCATCTACAAAATGCCTTCTTGGCTTTGCCCCAACCCTGTTTCTGCGATCTCTTGCGATCTTATTCCCTGACCTACTCCCTCCACCCTATCAACTGCGGCCTCCTTCACGTCCCCCCGCCACCTCCCTGTTCTGCCCCACCATCAGCTGACAATCCAGCACGTCCCCCAGCACTGCACTGGTGTGTCATCCCAGTCTAGACTGTGAGCTAAAGTCCCGATGTCAGACTTGAACCCACAACCTCTGACTCACGAGGTGAGAGTGCTACCAGCTGAGCCAGGCTGACACAGGCCATATACGGTAAATCTATCAAAGCTAGAACCAGCAATTTAAATGCTAGACCTCGCAGCACTGCTGCTAATTTAGAAAGGCTTTCTTGGAGGTCGAACGCTTATGAGTCACAAGAGAGCAAGGTAAGAACGACTGTACGAGATTAAACAAAGCCTTGGCATAGGAAGAATGGGTATAAATAGCTGAGGTGATGAAGCACGAAGCTGGATCACTGCTGAGACAATAATAAGTCACTACGTGTCCCAGCATTGTGCTCCCCCACCCCCAACACAGCCACACAATAACTTTCCTTCAAGTCTTCCAATTACAACCGCTCCCTCCGTGCAACTGTTCATCACTCCCCTGTTTCAATAGTCTTCCCACTTAGATGCAAAACAGCACGTTGTCACACACAATGAAATTACAGGGTGACCAAAAAGCCGAGAAACCCTTACAATGTGTAATACGTCTTAAAGAAATGATGATTTGTTTAGATAATAGGGTAGAAATCACAACTTTTTTTTGGTTACCCTGTAGTTCACAAACTAACAGCAAACATCAGAGCCGTGGGGATGTGTGTGCATATTGTTCCTCTAAATATCGTTCAACATTTTTTTTAAAAAAATAATAATAAATTGGTCACTCAATCCACGACTGTTTGTGGGACACTGCTGTGCGCAATTGGCTGCTTTTCGCCCACAAATATACAGTCAATTCGCTTTACAGTATATTCCGTGAAGCGCTTTGAGACGTCTCGAAGACGCGATAAGACGCTATATCAAATTGCAAGGCTTATTATTATAAAACATTATAAAACGTATCCATTTCCCTTTTAAATGCAGTTGTGGTCTTAGCTACTTGTGGCAAAGCGTTCCATGTTGCAATGACCCTCCAGACAGTGTTTCTCTAACCTCCTCCTGCTCGTCCCTGTGCTGCCTCTGCATTCTACGCAGCCACAGCGAAGCAAACCAGATGGGTTTGTGCTTAAATCCCTGGAATTCTTCAGCAGATCATTCACTTCCGAGCGATTGGGGTGGGGGCAGGTATTGAACTCAAGATTTGTAGTTTCCAACTTGCAGGTTTTTATGCCACAAAAGTGGAGTCCTGTAGCTCAGTGGTTAGAGCACTCGCTTTGCAAGCGAGAGACCTGAGTTCAATTCCAGGCAGAGGGCGAAACCTTGGGCAAGTTTCCTTACTCCACACAGAGCCTAATAATAATCCCTCCAAAACCAAAAACAATAATAAATTGGTCATTTTCAATCTACGACTGTTTGTGGGACATTGCTGTGCGCAATTGGCTGCCGCGTTCGCCCACAAATATACAGTCAATTCACTTTACAGTGTGTTCTGTGAAGCGCTTTGAGACGACGACGTGAAAAGCGCTATATCAAATGCAAGGATTATTATTATTATTATTATTAAAAGGAAACAACCGATTTCAGCAGATGAGTGGGAGGGCGTTCAATGCAACAATGCCAGTTGTGCTTGGCATCTTACCACTCGACTGCCACACATGCCAGTAGCGGGTGCTGTGGAGGGACCAGGCACAGTAACCTCGCAGTAAGAGTTCGGGAATTGCTTTCATTTGACCGCCTTTTCTTCTCCAATGTCACGGATAGTGTACGTGGCACCAGTTTACACTGACACTGAATGGCGGTCTCCTGTGTCTGCTCGTGCCGGGATGAGACCCCATCACACCTAAAGGGCAGCGAGGCCACATCTGAGCAGTTCTGGATCTCCAGAGAAGTTACCGACTTAAACCTGACACAGGTCCCTCCGACTCACACTTTATAGACCGACAGCTGCAGAGTCTAACAAGGACTCTTCCTCCTGCCCTATTTAAACAACAACGGGCGCTTCACGAAGGACGAGGGCCCCAGAGCGCCCCACGGCAAAATAATAAGCCTTTGATGCAGCGCCCTACCACGTTATCGAGACGTCTCCAAGCTGTATACTTGTAGCCGGAGAGCAGAGAACGCTGAGCAGGGAGGAGGAGGAAGGGGAATTTAAAAGAGTGTTGACCAGAGGCAGAGTTAAAGCCACTTTGTGAGGGTTCGGAAGGCAGGAAGAGAAGGAGGAAGGGGGAGAGATTTTGACAGAGATCGTGAGTTCCAGAGGGCAGAGGAACAAGAGCTGAAAGCTCAAGCAATGTACAATCTGAACTTTGCTCGTGCTGAGTTAGTCCTGTAATGCAATACATTTGTAAAGCGCCTTTCACATCAGGCGCTGGACAATCAGGGATTAGTACCCGAGCAGGGAGGGGTGGGGGTCGGAGGGTGGCCAAATGCACGGTCGAAGAGGAGGGCTTTGAGACGTGTCTTGAAGGAGGCGAAGGATATGTGAGATGGAGTTCCAGAGGCTGGGGGCAGAGAGGTTGAAGGCCCGACCACCGATGGTGGGGGACATAGAGCAGTCCAGAGACCTGCTGAGCGGAGGGAGCGGACAGGTTGATAAGGGGTTAGCAGGACGAAGAGGTAGGAGGGGGCAAGGCCATGGAGGGTCTTGAAAGTGAGGACAGGAATTTTGAACTCGATCTGAGGGATGGGGAGCCAGTGGAGCCGGGCGAGGGTGGGTGCGATGGAGCCTGGTGCGGGAGAAGACACGAGCTGCAGAGTAATTGGCACAGCACAAAGCCATTAGACCAACTTCAGTTCTCTTCCTCCTCCCTCTATGATTCACACACTTTAATGATGCTTTTTAAAAAAAAGTATTTCTCCTGGTTGCACGGGCAATTTTCACAGACAAAAAAAAGTGTTTCTCCTAACGCCACAGGCCGTTTATGAGCTGCTCTACTCTCAGTTGCCTGTTTTGTGCTGTTCTCCGTGTGCTACTAGCCTTGCCTTGCCCTCCTCTGTTGCTGCGCGGAGTGCCAAGTCCCTGGGATGGCACATTCACGATTGATTGGCAACTTGTCCTTCGAGGAATTGGGGTTTGGATCTCTCGAGATGCCACCTTGGCACCAACCTGTTGCCTGGCACCGAGCCCTGCGCTGCTGCACTGTCTAACATTCAACGCTTTTCAAAAGGGAATTCGAGAGGTATTGTGAGAAGGAAAGATATAAAGAGGTAGCGTGGGGAGGAGAGGGAAAAGCAGAGGAACAGATTAAATGTATAACTATTTCGGAGAGCCAGCAGTAACACAATATAATACAATATTCTGGGAATCCAGGAGGTGTCTGGAGAGTACCATCCACTTGGTTAAGGAAAATAATTATTAATCAAGTACGAGGGCTCCTCTCCTGCTACCTTCCTCCCTCCCTCCCCCTCCCGTCCCCCTTTCCCCTTTGCAATGCGCATTAAGAGATTGGTGATTGGGACGTCCTCCCGACGTGAAAGGCGCTCTATAAATGTAATTTTGTTGTTGTTTGTTGTTGTGTCAAGAGCCACTTACCCTCCAGTGGACACAAGCGAGGCACCTTTTCTGGCATTAACTTTCCTTCCCTGTGAAGGCAGTAGAGCTCAGCAATCTCCTGGCGGCAGTGCTTGCTCTTAGCCCGGGACAGGGCTGAGATGGCTTCCTTGCCCAGTATTTCGCATTTGGGAGCTTGTTCGTGGTGGCTCTCTTGCAAACCTTTTCCATTCACACCGACTTTGTAGTGACTACTAGTCTTGTACGACAGTTTGGAATTGCTGGCATTATTGACGTTGCTGTCTCCATTGTGTAGGACATCGTTGGAGTGCTTGCCCAACAGTGAATGGTCCTTGGCTTTGCCCAACTGTTCGTGCTTGGCCTTCTGTATGCTCGCTGTTCTCCTTTTCACCTCTGATTGAAACTTTTGCCTTTGAGTCCTTGGTCCAAAATTACTATTGTCGATGTTTTCAAAGTCTTTAGGGACGGAGTTTTCGTTATTACTGTCGATCCGGTTTTTCTCTTTGGGCTTGTGAGAAAAAAACACATCCTGCAGAAAGAGTGGGGTGGGGGGGGAGGGAAAGGGGCAGATTGTGACTTGTGTAAAGTAACGTACGGTAGTGGATGGCACCCACCTGGCATCTGTACAAACACTGGGCATTTGATTCTTGGCTCACTAATGTGAACCCATCATTATACAACAACTTGCATTGATACAGCACCTCTCACCAGTGTAGCTTCCCAGAGCGCTCTCAGACAGAAGGGTAGTGAGTGTAGGGAAATGCCAATTGGTCAATCAGGTAAATAACCAATTAGTTGTTGGCCAGGAAGAAAGGGTACGACTCCTTTCTCTTTAAAATTTTTGAATAATATTGCGAGATCTTTCGCCCAGTCTAACATCTTAGCTCCCAACAATTTAGTACTCCCCCAATACAACACTGGGGTGGCAGTCTAAGCTCTAGCCTATGAGCTACCGTGTCAAGGTGGGGCTTGAACCTTCAACCCGTAACTGAGTAGTGAGCGTAACTAAACCCAAGCTGAGACCGTTATAGGAAAGTAACATTAGAAACTTCGGTACAAGTTAGTGTGCTTGGAATTGTGACTAATGTTCAATGAGCAACTGTTGATCTTTCGGTCATGAGTACGAATTTCATCAATAACATCCCAGAAACTCTCACTAAAGTGCCTCACAGCCTAATGATATTACTAGCAAACTTAATGGCATCTTCCCGTGAATTACGTTAAGTACCCTAGTGTCAAGAGTCAAACATCCAAAGGCTCAAAGCATTAGGTAATACTGAGCACAATAAATCCCCAAATTAGTAAGACATCATTCAGCTTTCACCGTGAGCTTGCGTTGTCACAGAATATGATTCATCCGCGAGATACAGTGCAGACTCCGTGACAGTGCATCACTGCTTTCACAAGAACAATGCACAGAGCTCGGGAAGGCTGAAACTTAATCTGAACTCCAAAACTCATCCCACGAGGCTTAGGATAGTCCTGTCAGGGGCAGTTACACAGCAGCACTCTGCTGCCACTCTATTATGGTGCATTACATCCGTGGCTTTGCAGGGAAAGAGGGCACCATTCCCTCTGGGACACTCTTAAGGTTTTTCAAAAGCAGCGAGCGTGGAAGGAACCGGTGTGTAACAGGACAGTGATCACTGTAAGAAGAAAAAAATCTCCATCAAGCTCAATTGGCTCCTCCTCAATGGAACGTTCCCCTTTCATCTCTAATTAACTCAATTTTGCAAGACTTTTATTTTATGTGAAGGGCACTATACAAAGGCAACTTACTGCTCAACAACTATCTCGGAGGTCGTGAAGTTTACAGGGACCTCAAATGATCTCTCAAAGTGTATTTCAGCAGCTCTTATTCACTGGCCTCCGATTGCACAGGACACACCGCAGCTGTGTTTATGGTCAGAGAATGTCTGGCTTTGCGAGTTTTAAAAAAAAACTGCAGTGCAAATATTTCAACCCGGTTCCAGTGATGAGTCCATCAGTGGAATGTGCCATGATTCATTGTACGGGCTGATTTGTTGGTCTCAGCTGGTATGTGGGTGGTGGGTGAAGTGAGGGGGGGGCGGGGGGGTGGGGGGTAAAGAGGGTCGATGCTGAGCAGAGAGGATGTGTTAATGATCGCTGCAAGATTTGGTCAAAGGCCACATTCACAACTCTCCCTCTTCTCCAGCAATGGAACGAACTGGAGCCCTATTCCTCTCCACTCCCTCACACAATCTTAGCATTTAAGGCAAAATGATTCACGTAGGTGTCGGAGACAGAGTGAGATTTTTTGGGGGGCTGAAGGTTTCGCAAATTTACAACCGCTTAATGATGTCCCAGGATGGCATCTTCTTCCCTTGAATTATGTTAAGAACCCAAGCTGCGGAGTCAAACATCCGCTCGCTCGAACCATTGGGCAATTTCCATTTAAAGGCCTGTAGCCCCGCTGCAGGAATAGGGAAAGGTACAAAATCAAAGCAGCAGGACCTTTTTCACCTGCTCTACGTCCGCCAGGATAACACCGTTCTCTGGGTGACTCTCACTTGAACAGTAGTAGAGAGGAAGCAGCGATGGATCTGAGCTCTGGCAGCATCGCGCTGTGGGCACCAGCTGTGAGCACAGGGGCACAGAGCACCTGGAGCAGCAGGTCTGTGGGAAAGCCCAGGGGAAAGGGAACTGAGCCACAAGTGTCTCTGAAACCGGGTCATCTTCCATTTGCTTAAACGCCTTCCCGGGGGGCGGGGGGGGGAGTGGGGGGATGTTCAGGTCCCGAGAGGGTTGCCACTGGCTGACTGGCTGACTGTCCTCTCAGGCGGAGAGAAGCAAAAATGAGGAGAGATAAAAACACATTTTAATAAGTTCAGGTGACAGGACTACTGCCAGACTTTTCTTTTGGCATTTTCTGCTTTGTGTAGCGTCTTTGTTCGTGTGGAAAGAGGGTGTGTAGGGTGGGGGTGTTTGGGGGGCGGGGGGGGGGGTCGGCGAGGGGGAGGCGAAAAGGGATCATCAGAGGACACCAGCAACTCTAGACCATCAACCGCAGAATGACAAACGGCACATGTTTTCTGCGGGTAGAGTCCCTGAGACTTCATTTATGTTTTAACCCACATTATTGCGTGCACATTTTGCTGTGCGTGGTTGTGTGTGCGCGTGCGTGTGTGTGTGTGTGTTTGTATGGTGTGTCTATGCGTGTGTGTGTGTGTGTGTATGCTGGACTTCCTCTGTTAACAAACGGGACTGACGGGAAATCCTTGCATCCTTTAAATGACCCAACAAAAGAAAAGAATGAGCATCCCAGAGACAAAGAGACAGCCTCCAAGTTCCCTTCTATGTCAGCGACAGTGGCTGGAGGTTCACGTTGGATGAAAGTTCAGCACTGGAGCAAAAAGACAAGGCGTCGTTTGACTGACAGGCAGGAGGAGCAGCCACAAGCTATTCAATACCTGGAGGATTTCTGTTATCCTTGGAGGACAGTATCGCGCCAGTCCTTATCCAAGGGGAATGATTTCTCTGCCAAATCTCACGGTGACTTGGCGTAAGGCAGTGGTATTTGCCGGGTGCTCCATTTTAAATCACGGCCGATATTGTCTGTCCATTTTCCTGTCACCCATCCACACATACAGCTGTGTTCCCCCTCTCCACCCCATTCCCCCCTCCCGGTGCTCTTTGCTGTACGTTAGACATTGGTTTAACAAAGCACTATTGGAAAGAAAGCCTTCATCGCCTGCAGTGGCTGAGTCTGAATTTACCTTGGCACGTCCTAGTGACTTTGGTTTACTCAGACCTGCTGCGAGTTTAGCTTTCCTGCTCTTGTTTATTTACTGACATTTTAAAGGAGGGCCGATGAATTTTACAAGTCAGCCTGACGCTGAAAACCTTCAAAAGCCACCTCTGTGGAGTGTTGGGGTTTTCGTCCAAAACTAATATCAAAATTAAACATTACAGTCTAGAGCTAAAACAGTACACACATTATCATACGCTGGAGAACACTGGATTGCATCCAGTACTTAAGGTCGCATGCAGCGGTAATATTTCCTCGTCTGTTTTTTTTCCCCAAAAAAATATGTACCGAGTGAATATTCTCACGTAATCTATCGGATGTTTCAGGCATTTGAAATATGGAAGAGCGGAAGGAGCTGAGACTGAGGTCATAGGAGGTGTTGCGCTACTTTCTGGCTCATTGATATCATGCCCTATCATATCATCACTAATATATCATCAAGCATTTGTCTCGCTTTAAAATACTGCACCGATGATAATTTTGTAGTAATCCCAGTAATATGGAGGAAGCCGGTTTGGTTGGATTTGATAGTGTTAGACTATAAAGTATATCTTGCATAGTCCAAAGCGTTTTTTTTCCTCTGTTGCAGGCTGTTTCCACACCCCCCTGCCCCCGACAGCAAATAAATACATTTTAACAGCTAAATATTTAATGACTAAAAATAGCATTTTGAAGGACGTTCCGCCTAAATTAAGCATTTTTGGTCAAACGTTAAAAATCGATTGCGCAGTTAAATTATTTCATTTGAAATACAGTGCACTTTTACTTGTAATGGTGTAATTGTACATCGGTCAAACAGGCCATTTGGCCCAACTAGTCTGTGCCAGTGATTATACTTCACACGCCTGTCCAAACACTCCTTAATCCCTTCCATACCCTTCTATTCCCTTCCCGCTCATGTCCCCTCACTGTTACCCAGTATCTCCTTGGGATTCTGTGAGTGGGAGGCATTCAAGCAGCTCCATATTTTCACACCTTTCTCTACAATGACACTGAACTCAGCGACTTTGGGGTTTTGCACATAAAACCATGGCTTACACAAGTGTGCAACACCGCCGTAAAGCATTGTGAGAAGGCTGAGCTTCAATCTGCTCTGCAATGCCATGTGAAAAGCTGGGACGTGTTACATCCCAGAGATATCCTGCTCAACACATTGCCTGCATTTGGTGTTGTAACACGTGTTAAGAGGAAGAGGCTGCAGTTTCAGCTAATGCTGGCACAGAGAGATGCTCAGTGTGTGGCCTGCACTAAATCTGCGGTTACCAGCAGGCGGGGAGAGATCACATTAAAGCCCACAAATCACAGGATAGCGGCCAAGACTGCAGACACGAACGTACCATCTTCACAGCACAATGAAAAGTGGGTAAAATAGCCCAAGTGTTTGGAGCCCACCCAGCCAGAAACACAATCGCTGTTGATGGTATTTCCTTGCAGAGAAACAGTGCAGATTCTTTAACCGGTGCTTCTGGTTATCCCTCTAAAATGAAGGAATTTCATACATCACCAAGCCAGGTCGAGCAGGAACTGACTTCAAACACGTTTCGATGACTTTGTGTTCCTGGGTAGCAGGGACCACATTCTTGTGAAGGTTTGGCAATTAATATCTTTAGGCAACAGGACAGAAATGTTCACAGGTTCAGGAACTATCAGGACAGAGACCAGGAAGTATTTTTGGACAGAGAGCAATAAATCCAACCCAGTATTAGATTATGGTTGTTGCTGTGCCAGAGCTCTGATTTATACAACTGACACTCAAGCAG